GAGCTTTATTTCTTATAAAGGGTTGCAGCCTGCAGGCTGGCCATCCTCAGGCTGGGGCGCACTTCGAAGGAGGAAAGGTGAAATGAGAATTTATGCTGAAGGGTTAGCTAAGTATACATATTCAACAGGTTATTGGAGGAGCTATGAATATTCAGAAGGGGGATGTATACACACATAGTAAGCAAACATGCGTGCTACATACATCCCATGTTCACTCTGGGGTGGAGACTTAACACTTAAATGCATTAGAATCAGGCTGTCTGTCAAAGGGTGAAATGGAGGTCACAGAGGCATCCTGTGCACAGCCTCTGTAAACCAGCCACAACCACTTCATGGCTGGTGGCCCCCTATCAGGAGGGAATACTGGCTAGTATTTGTGTCAAACTGCAGAAGGGGAGAGGAGTCCTGCTAAAATCAGTGGTGGAGCAAGTCTTTTGAAAGGGCTGGCTTTAGTCAAGGTTGGTAGCTCATACCTGTAATGCCAGCACTTTGGGAGGCTAAGGCAGGAGGATTACTTGAGGCCAGGAGTTCAAGAGCAGTCTGGGCAACATAGTGAGACCTTATCTCTACTTAAGAATAAATAAAAGAGCTAGTTTCTGTTTAGCCCTTAGGAAAGAAAGCCTAATAGCAATTAGGGAGGGAAGAGTATAATGGGGTCTGTCTGACCTCCCATCTGGTCATGGTGGGGAACTCAGTTTTTAAGTTTCCTCTGGGGTATGCTTGGCAAAGACGGGGTCCATCCAGTCAGTTGGGAGGCTTAGGATTTTAGTTTTATTTCTCATACCACCACCACCAACAACAAAAGGGTTTTAGGCTCTTAGACAGGGAAGGCAGGTTATGGGAAGATGACCCTGAAAAGTATGGTAAACAAGGATTGTTTAACAAGGTTTGTTATACAAATTTAAATTGATGCCTTCTCCATTGAGAAGAGTTAAGAATCCTTCCTTTCCTGGAGAGAGAAACACCTCTACAAAGGGAAATTTCCTTTATAGATGTAAATTTTCTCTATGATATAAAAACTTGTTTTTAGAGCTTTCCCTGAATCTGCTGGTTCTCAATGACTTTTAGCTGAAAATAATTTATATGCCAATGGGGCATATTTTGGGGTGGCATATTCTGGTACCCCTCAGGTGTCAGTATGGTCTTATGTCACATTATGACAGGAATATGTTCTGAGAAATGCATCATTAAGTGATTTCTTTCTTGCGTGAATATCATAGACCTACATAAACCTAGATGGTACAGACTACTAGACACCTCAGCTGTAAGGTACAGCCTCTTGTTCCTAGGCTACAAACTTTTATAGCATGTTACTGTACTGAATACTGTAGGCAACTGTAACACATTGGTCAGTACTTATGTATCTAAGCACACCTAAACATAGAAGAGATACAGTAAAAATATAGTATAAAAGATTAAAATGGTACACTTGTATAGTGCACTTACCATGAACGGATCTTGCAGGACTAGAAGTTGTTCTGGATGAGTCAGTGAATGGTGAGTGAATCTGAAGCCCTAGGACATTACTGTACACTACTGTAGGCTTTATAAACAACGTACACTTAGGCTACACTACATTTAAAATTTTGCTTTCTTCAGTAATTAACTTTAGCTTACTAGAACTTTTTTACTTGATAAATTTTTTAGTTTTCTTTTTGATTTTTTGTAATAACACTTAGTTTAAGACAAGTACATAGAGCTGTACCAAAATCGTTTGTTTTTTAGAGACAGGTCTCGCTTTGTCACCCAGGCTAGAGTGTAGTGATGCAATCTAGTCTCACTGCAGCCTTGACATCCTGGGCTCAGGTGATCCTCATGCCTCAGCCTCCTGAGTAGCTAGGACAACAGGTGTGTGCCACTATGCCTATCTTTTTTTTTTTTTTTGTAGAGATGGGGCCCAAGCAATCCTCTTGCCTTGGCCTCACAAAGTGTTGGGATTACAGGCGTAAGCCCCCACACCCAGCCAATGTTTTCCTTACATTCTTCTATAAGTTTTTTTCTATTTTTTTTTAACTTTGTAAACACTTTTTATTGGAAATGTGGACACAAACATATTTGTCTAGGCCTACACGAGGCTAGTTCATCAAGACTTCACTAGGTGAAGGGAATCTTTTAGCTCCATTATAATTTTATGGGACCATCATTGTGTATGTGGTTCATTGTTGACCAAGATGTCATTATGTCATGCATGAGTATATTTCATTTTGAATGATGGGCCAGCTACTTAAAGGTATTGATATGAGCAAGGTGGTATCTATCTTTGAACAAAAATCCCTCTATATAATGGACCATTCCATAAGAGTATAAGCAGGGAGATGAGTTAGGGAGATGCCAAGTGTGAGACATGGCAGTATGGAGGTAAGGGTGAAAACCAGTTGGATTCTAGATATTTTGAAGAAGGAGTCAATAGGACATGCTGATGGATTAGTCTGGGCTGGAAAAGAATTAAGACTGGAGTCTTTTTTTTTTTTTTTTTTTTTTTTTTTTTATAGTCTAAAGTCTTCCCCAAAACCCCACATCAATAGAGGGGATAGGAACAATGTGGAGGGATTCACAGGCTCTCTCCCATCCTCTGAGTGCCTACATTGGCCATCATAGGCTGGCTTGTGTACTTCTTCACAAACATGATTTTGTCCATAACTGGACCATGTCCTCAAGGGCCATATTTTAAGCTTTTCTGAATCCTTCAGCCCTACCCACTCCCAATAGAATAAAAACAGTTGTGAGAACATAGGAAAGCATGCTATGGACTAAACCTGGGCTAAACCATTTTCAGGTAGTGATGACAGCCTTAGAGATGAGGAAACAGACTCAGGGAGTAAAACTATTTCCCTGATAGTAGTGACCACTTGAAATAGCTTCCTGCCTGCCTGCCTTCCTTCTGGGCAGGCAGGAATTTGGGTGGCAAATGGTTGATCTGGGTGTTATACCAGCAACTTCTCAATTTATGATGCTGCTGAGCAAATGTTGCCTCATTGTGATCTGTCTGCTGAAGGAGTTCAGAAAATGCCACCCCCAGAGTATGCTTTGGTGTGCTGATTGCTTTGAAATGAGGGCATTTGAGAGACAGTGGATGAAGGCAGAGGCTAGCTTTGAGCTCACCTTATCTGTCTAAAGACAATCCTCCAAAACGAACTCAACTGTCATGACTTCCCCAGGAATCTCTTCAGCCAAGAAGACCAGCTCATAACACAGGAGAGGAGACTGAGGTTTGACCTCATGCCCAGAAAACAGACTTTGTCACAGGCTGTCACCTTTTCTTCTGAGGGCCCACTCATCTTTCCCAGCATGAACTGAAGAATCACGAGGTTCGAACATTTGGAAAGGAGGGTACCATGACCTGCAGGCAGGACGTGGAGCTACCAGCTGAAACCGAAAAGCAAGTGCTCTGAGGGAGAGAAGGATGAGATGGGAATTTATGCTGAAGGACTAAATACACATAGTCAACAGGTTGTAGGAGGAGCTATGAATATTCATGAAGGGGAGTGAGTACATGTGTAGTAGGCTAACATGTATGTAACATGCATTCCATGTTCACTTTGGGGTAAAGACTTAATATTCAGTTAGACTCTACAACAAAAAGTGAAGCAAAGGACAGGAAGGCTGTCAGTGCAAAGTCTCTGTAGACTGACCAGAATCACTTCATGATTGGTGGTCTCTATTGGGAAGGAATGCTGGTCAGTTGCTGTGTCAAAACAGCAAAAGGGAGGGACGGCGTCAGGTTATTGGTTGAAATTGGTGAAGGGAGTCTGTCGGAAGCTGGTTTCTGTTTAACCCTTAGGGAAGAAGGGCTAATGGGGGTTGGGTGAAGGAAGGGGTAGATGACAAGGCCTATCTAACCTCCCAGCCCATCATGGCTTGGAACTCAGGTTTGTTTTTTGGTTCCCTTGGCGAGAGGCGGCCTATTCAGTCAGGTGGGGGGGTTTAGGATTTTACTTCCCACCAAAACTCATTTACAGTTCCCTAAGTTGCTTACATTCCCCTCCAGCCTCCCCTATGAAGAGAGTGAATATGCTTCTAGATCTCACCAGGTTTTGGGAGATATTCACTTTTCTTTCATGTGATGTCCCCATGCATACAATAAATTTGTATTCTTATTTTTACTGTTAATCTGTCTACTGCCAGTTTGTTTCATAGACTCAGTCATCAAAGCCTCAGAGGACAGAGGGAAAGTTCTCCCTCCACATACTATTCTCGGCAGGTGCCAGAGCTACCTTTTCAATGGTTTCCATGAAGACGACTTCCCTCTGTGAGTGACTTCAGGTGGTTGGAGACCAAAATATGCCACCACAAAAATATGGCTGAAAAGTTACAATTTTAAGAGAAAGTTACATGAATAAGGGAAGTCTCCACCTGTAAGAGTGTCTCCCTCTCTGTCCCAGGAGGAGAAGGATGGCTAAATCACCAGACACTTAATGGAGGAGGCATGACTTAAACCTGCAGAACAACCTTACCTTTGTCTAAGGTGCTTTTCCTGGTCTTCGGGTCTTAACAGGGTCTTTTTCCATACTCTTATTTCTTTATTTCAGAGAACCGATGGTATTTAAACCTGAAGTTTAAACTTTTTCTTTGAAATCTCATTTCTCTGGGTTATCTCCCATATATACAGGAGATATACACATTATCAAACTTCTGTTTGTGTTTTTGCTTGTTAACGTGTCTGTTACAGGGAGTCCTGGTTAAGAATTATGAAGAGTAGAAAGGATTATTTTTCTTCCCCTACAAGGTCCTACCCCATTCCCCCCACTCTTTTGAGGGAGCCGGTCCTAAATGTCAGCTGAAGGGAATACCATATCCTATGAATCATTTGTTATGTCTTTTTGCTTTATATTTTAAGCCTCTTTCTTCATACCTTCCCCTCAACAACTTGAACATGCTTGTTTTCTGGCCCAGGCATAGGAAATGTATGCAAAGGGCAAACTAGAAGTTTTGCTATTGAGAGCATTCATATAAACCGATTTTCTTCCCAGTGCCTCCACCCAGTTCTTTTCTTCCTACAGGACTCAGACTCTCTTGGACAGAAATCTTTGTCCCCGTGAAATACTGCCATGTCGTCCTGAGAGACAAGATGGGTGAGTTCTCTATCGTGATGATGTGAAGTTGGTTTCCTCAGAACATCTGGTACAACTGGGCCATCTGAGCTGGCCCCCAAAGCCGCGTTGTTATTTATGCCCGTGGCTTTAGGGCCCCAGGAATCAATGACTGTGAGGCAAACCCTGACAAGATCATGTTTCAGCGCGTCTCCCCTGTGGTAGAAAGAACATGACCCCATGTTCTTTCCATGCCTGTTGAAACAAGAGAGTACACGTTTCTGCCACCCAGGCTCTGGCTGTGCATGTGGTCTTGCTAGCTAAGAACTATGCTTGACGTGGAGATAAAGCACTGCAGGGGGAAGCATTGTGTCTTCTGGGATCCTAGAGTGGATTCCAGGGAAAAGATCATGAAGTCCTGTATTACAAAATCTCCCATTCCATTTCAAAGAGTCACCTCCAAACCTACTGTTAAAAGTATCACTGGTCCAAAAACCCAAATGGAGAAGAGACTTGGGATCTCAGGAACTTCGGTGCCCCATGTGGTTTAGCCAGTCTCTCATGTTATTTAGCAAGCCCACAGCAGGCAGCATCCTGGCCACCAAGTTGCCAGAAACAAGTGAGATAGATTTTTGAAAATAGCCTCTTCCTCAACCTCTGTAGAAACATCAGTCTTTGATACAAGGTGGTCAGAAAACCCAGAAAAAAGTACTTTTGCCTGGGCCTCAGGCAGCAGAGAGGTCCCTTCCAGCATTGCAAGTTCCATAACAAGCTCCATGGTGACCCAAACTGGCAGCTTGGTCCTCACTTGTAGAATGGGGAAGGCCGGGGAACACTTCAGAAGATGGGCCAGCCTCTGTGGACTCACCAGGCATGATGACAGGTACCTGTAATTCTAATTCTAATTCTAATTCTAATTCTAATTCAATTAACCACTCAGATTTGGGCTTATGGGAAAGAATGACATCTTGGGAAAGGGAGCTGCTTTCTCTCATCCCCTCTCAGGGAGTGGAAAACTTCCCGGAGCGTACAAGCAGCTTCCTATACAGATAAGCGTCTTGCCTGATGACACGCCATGTTTCCCATGGGGAAAGCCTGGGGCAGGCTTGGCCACTGAGGCCTGATTGTCTCTGGAAGGCAGGCCAGATTCTATTTCTGTTACCACACATCTTTCTCCTATCTCCAGTTCTGCTCTTGCTATGTTCCAAGCTGAGTGCTCTCTGACTGACTTGGCTTTGGTGAATTCCTACAGACATCCCAAATTCTACCATCAAGGGGCTTGCTTACTCAAGAGCCAAGCTCATCTCCAGTGAGGCAAGAGTTACCTTGGCAGATGCATCTCTGGGTGGCAAAGCGTTAATACCTCTTGCTCTCTCCCGAGGCCTTTGAGTGGCTACCTCTGAGGTGAAGTCATATCTTCTCCCTTGGATGGCCTTATCCTCAGCCCTCCCTGAGCCAGGACAGACAGCTGGCCTGCCCCGTGGTGTGATCTCAGAGGGTGTCTCCTCAAAGCAACATGAGAATTTTACAGGAAGAGACTCAACACACACTTCTTGGAGTCCAAATGGGCTGGCCACAGAATCGCTGGAGAACCTGGCCAGTGTGATGCTGACAATGGCCCCTCAACAAGCTCCTGTAGCTACAACTGCCCTCCAATATGTTTCCTAACCTACACTGGTGTTTCCACCCTCTGCCTACCACAGAGAACCCGGAACACTAGAGGGGACCATGGGAATGTCTACAATAGCTTCATGGTTGCTGTCAGGACATCTGAAGGCAACTGTGAACCTATTTGAGACTAGAGGGGAGGTAGAACCTTCCCTCAGCTCTTTAAGTCCAGCCATTCCCCAGGGCTTGTTCAGTCAAGGAGAGAGAGAGGCTGCTGGCAGCCTCTCTGCTGAACTCCTTGGGAGCTGCGATCCAAGCTTTCTGCAGACTGACATGGAGTGCCTTCTGCAGAGCTCAGTGACTTCTCTGGCTCCCTCCTGAAGCCAGGGTGAAATGGAGCTGGCATCTAGAAGTCTAGTGAGTACTTCCTGGCCTGGGCCCAAGGAAGCTGTTCCTAGTGGGACAATAGCTGGTCCTCACGACTTGAGGTCGAGTGGGAAACTGTTCCCAGCTACTTCATACAGCAGAGGCAGCACAGAAGGAACAGCCTCCTTGAAGGAGGAAGACTGGGTGATGCACTGCATCCCTTTGCTCTTGGGTTAATTCCTGGGTTCTGGCTTTCTCACATTCTGGGACTCTCCCCTGGATGTGAAGCTCCTTCAGGGCCAAAGACATGTGCTACCGCATGTGGCTGCTGCATTGGTCGTGGAACTGTAAACTGGCTGGGCAGTGACCTCCTCTGGGGAGTCCCTTGAAGAGCATACTGACATGGCCACTCACCCTCCAAAGGGGCTGCTCTAAAGGAAGCTAAGATCTGGAAATCCACCCATTCCCTGGAACAGGTATGGAAAGACTTCACCTGGGATCTGCCAGGTTCTCTTCCTAGCTTTCCAGAGAACCCCCCTGGGAAAAGGACCCATGCTGTGGGGGCTCCTGCTGTTCTACCCATCTGTCCCCTGGGAAGAGGGTGAATCCTCTCTGGAGACTTTGACACTCCAGAACTACACTGGTGGGTACTGCTTTTTTTCTTATCTGTAAGAAAAGCTTAGTATTTTATTTGTCCGCATCCTTCTCTGTATTTCAAACCATCCTTCTCTAAATGAACTTTGGAAGTTTCATTACAGTTTCTTGAAGGTAGACTCTGATTTTATTTATCTAGTGTCTTTCACCCTCTTTCTTTATAGTTTTTGTTTGTTTTGAGACAGTCTTGCTCTGTCACCCAAGCTGGAGTGCAGTGGCACAATTTTGGCTCACTGCAACTTCCACCTCCTGGGTTCAAGCAATTCTCCTGCCTCAATTTCCCGAGTAACTAGAATTACAGGTACCTGCCATCACGCCAGCTACTTTTTGTATTTTCAGCAGAGACGGTGTATCACCATGTTGGCCAGGCTGATCTTGAACTCCTGACTTCAGCTGATCCAACTGCCTTGGCCTCGTAAAGTGCTGGGATTACAGGTGTGAACCACCATGCCCAGCCTCATTATAGTTATATTGGGTACATGATTCTAAGTTGAAAACTTTTTCTCTCAACATCTGCCAGAAATTATTCCACTGTCTCTTGTTTCTGTTGTGGCTACGCAACCTAAGTGACATTTCTTCAAGGTGATCAATCCTGTCTCTGACTTTATTTTAAGATCTTTTTAAAGTTTTGAAATTTCCTTATGTCTGTGTCAATTCCTTTTTTATTTTAAATTTTGCTTGAGCATACTAATTTCTGGGTATTTATTGTTGGATAGCAAACTGCCCCAAAACTTAGTGGCTTAAAGAAATAACCATTTTATTACCTCTTTTGTGAATCAGAAATTTAAGCAAGTATCAGCTGGGCAATTCTTCCACCCCACATGAGATTGGCTGCAGTATCTTGGTGGTATTTAGCTGAAATCTGGGCGGGTCTGGAAGGTTCAAGATAGCTTTGCTCACATGCGTTTACAACATGAACATCAGTGGGGACAGCTGGGAGGCTGGACTCAGATGTGTCCCTCTTCCTTTTACACAGTCTTGAGATTTATCTAGTCAGATTCCTTTTTTTTGAGACGGAGTCTCTCTCTGTCGCCCAGGCTGGAGTGCAGTGGCCGGATCTCAGCTCACTGCAAGCTCCGCCTCCCGGGTTCACGCCATTCTCCTGCCTCAGCCTCCCGAGTAGCTGGGACTACAGGCGCCCGCCACCTCGCCCGGCTAGTTTATTTTTTGTATTTTTAGTAGAGATGGGGTTTCACCGTGTTAGCCAGGGTGGTCTCGATTTCCTGACCTCGTGATCCGCCCACCTCGCCTCCCAAAGTGCTGGGATTACAGGCTTGAGCCACCGCGCCCGGCCGACAATCTAGTCAGATTTCTTACAAGGCCTCTGGCTTTCCCCAGAACCAGAGACAAAAATGGAAACTAAGGCTGCTTCTGACTTAGCCTCGGGAGTCTTACAGCATGACTTTTAGGTCCTATTTATTAAGCAAGTTGCTGAGGCCATTCCAGATACAAGGGGAGAAAGATTAGACACTACCCGGCAAGGGGTGGTATAGGGAAGTTTTTATGGCCATCTTTAATACTACATTGTACATCCTAGATCTGTGGATTCATGTTGTTTGTCAGTTCTAGAAAACTCGTAGCCATCAGATGTTGCTCTTTCTTCCATTTTTCTGCTTTTTCTTTCTGGGTCGCCAGTAAGATATCTAAGACTTTCTTCTTTGAGCCTTCAAATCTCTTCTTTCATGTTTTTATCTCCTTGTCTTTGTACTAAATTATGGGTGAGTTTGTTGGTTCATGAGTTTTTCTTTTCTCTGACATTTTACCACAAAATTTCAAACGTATGGCCAAGTTGAAAGACCTTTACAACGAACAACCAATATCTACTACCTACATTCTACCATTCATATTTTACTTACTTCATATCTATATATTCATCTTATTTTTGATGTATTTCAGGTAAATTGCTGCATCGGTATCCATTGAGCTTTATTTCAATTTTGCATTTCTAGAAGTTCATTTATTTTCTAATCTGCCTATTCCTAGTAGTGTTTTTTATTTTGATTATATTCTTTATTTCTTTAAACATTTCTCATGTAACTATCTTCTTTATCTTAAAATTCTAGTAAGTCCTTGGATATAAATTGTTTTTTGTTGTTTTTTGCTAAAAATGCTTTACTCTTGATCTTAATCTATACAGCACTGTCTGTTTGGAAGATATAAAGGAAGACAGCGAGAGAGAGGAGGCAACTTGGTGGTTTCTGAGAACACAGTCATCAAGGTTGTAAAATAGCATCATTATTGTTAGTCCTCACACTGTCTACTAGCTATTTAAATGAGAACAGAAGTTAGAAATTCAGTTTCTCAGTTGCACTAGCCACATTTCATGTTCTCAATAGCCACGTGTCTAGTGGCTACTGTGTTGAGCAGGGCAGATTAGAGTAACTTCCATCATTTATATACATGGCATGACCATA